GGGGCACGGTGTAGGGTTGGGGAAGGGGGTGTTCTGGGGGAAGGGAGGAGGGCAGCCTTGGTGTTGCTGGGGCTGGGCTGTGCAGGGGAAGGCCGGGGAGGCACTGGGGTGGTGGTGGAGGGCAGCACCAGGTTTGGCGAAGGCTTAGCGCTGCTGGGGCTGGGCTGTGCAGCAGGGGCTGACCTGGCTGTGGGGAGGCCCCATGCAGCTGGGGCTGGGGAGGAACTGAGGGCAAAGTGGAAGGGAGGAGGGCAGCCTTGGTGTTGCTGGGGCTGGGCTGTGCAGGGGAAGGCCGGGGAGGCACTGGGGTGGTGGTGGAGGGCAGCACCAGGTTTGGCGAAGGCTTAGCGCTGCTGGGGCTGGGCTGTGCAGCAGGGGCTGACCTGGCTGTGGGGAGGCCCCATGCAGCTGGGGCTGGGGAGGAACTGAGGGCAAAGTGGGGCTTGTGGGGGCTTAATGCTGCTGAGGAGGGGAGCAGCCCCGGGTCTTGGGGTGCTGTTACAGCTAGGATAGGACTGTGTTTTTTTGTGGGGGCACCTCTAGGCTGGTGGGAGGCGCTCTGAATCTGGGGAGGGCCTGTGCTGGGTGTTTGGGGTGAAGTCAGCCCCATTCTTCTGGGGCTGGGTGCTTGTTTGAGCAGGCTGGGGCTGCGGTCAAGTCCTGAGGGGAGCAGGCTGTGGTGGGGGTTGCTAGGGAGGCAGAGGCTGTGTGTATGAGATCAGGGATCAAAGGCAGATCAGCCTGTTCTGAAGTCTGGACAGTTTTTGAATATTGCAACCTCTTGCAACAGTTTTCTCAGTGTTTGCTGTGGTCTTTTTTTTTGGATTTTTTTTTTTTTTTTTACTCCCTGACCTCAGGCTTTGTTTGGCCATGCAGCAAGGTGCCATATAGGGATGTGCTGTGTTACCTAGAGATTGAGGAAGGGCAGTGGGTCAGTCTATTTTGCTGTGGTTCTGATTCTACCTGTCTTTTTTTGACAGGTGTGTTAAGTCTTGCAATTTTGGGCCATCTGTGCAAACAGTGGCATCTTGACTACCCCTGGGCTGAGATCAGCAGCTGTCACAGAAAAGATGTGCTTGAGTGCCTGCTCAGGTGGCCATCGACATGGCTGATCTGTTCCAAAGTCAGCTTTGAGGTCTCTGCACCAGCAGCATGTTGTAAAAATGGATGAATGATTCATGCAAGTCACCTAAGATCCAGGGGGGTTATCAGCATCGTTAATTTGCCTCTTTTAAAGTTTGTAGATACATATGAAATTTGCATTTTGTGTTGCGCTGTGTTCTTGCCTCTACCCAGCTTTTGTGGGATAAATACGTGGCTTGGTTCGCTTGTCATAGAAATAAAATGGTTTTATTGTGTGAAGATGATTTTTAATCTATTGTGTCTGAACATTACTGTCTTCTAGGAAGATCCATCTCTGGAGAGACACTTCAAAGGCCACAGAGATGCTGTCACCAGCGTGGACTTCAGTCTCAATAAGAAACAATTGGGTAAATTGTCTCTCTGTCTCATCGTTGTTTTGATGGCCAGATGATAAAGAAAGAGCTTCTCTGCTTTAGTTAGGTGGAGGGAGCGAAGAACTTGTTTTCATGGTGAAGAGATTTTGGAGAATTTCAGGATGAACATTTCAGTGTGCTTTGGAAAAAAAATCCTGTTGTTGAACTGTCGGGGTTGCAGATCGTGTGCATACTACTCGAGCTTTAGGGACATCTACCGTTGGTTATCATTTCACATCCCTGGCAGTCAACTTAAGGTAAAACCTTACTTTTTCTTCTCAATCTTCCATCTTTCCCCTTTAGACAGCTGCCTGCGATTATGCCAAGGCTTATGTCCTAGTTGCTGTTCAGAAATCCACTGCATGTGTACTGAGTAGGAACCAGGAGGGGTTTTGCCTCTTAGTGAAGTTCCTGTTCAGTCTGTGTGGCGTGGGGAATGTTGCTTTGGCTCACAGAGAAAATAAGGCAGAAATGATAGTTTGAGGCAATATACCTGGTAGGCAGTAGGTGCAGTAGGCATGAATAAATAGAAATGCAGCAGTAGTAATCCTGTCCTAGATCTTGCAACCTATGCAAAGCTCTGGAAGCTTG